GTGACTTATTTATGTTTTCCTATTAGTGGACATTGGGTTGTTTGCATTTTTTTTTTTGCTATTATGAGTAAAGTTTCTATGGCCATTCATATACAAGTCTTTGTGTGGATGTGTGTTTTCATTTCTCTTGGTTAATTACCTAGGAATCGAATTTCTGGGTCATATGGCATGTGTATATTTAATTTTATAAGAAACTGCCAAACTGCTTTCCAAAATTGTTGTACCATTTTTTTCTCCCATCAGTAATGTATGAGAGTTTCAGTTACTTCACATCTTGGCAACACTAGATACTGTCAGAACTAAAAAATCTAACCATTCTAATGGGTGTGTAGAGGTATCCCGTGGTTTTACTTTGTATTTCCCTGGTGATAAATGATGCTGAGAACTTTTCATGTCCTTTTTTGCCATCTGATATTTTCTTTTGGGTAACGTCTTTTCAAATCTTTTTGCTGCTGTTCTAAGTTGAATTGTTTTCTTATAATTATGTTTAAGAGTGTATTTTGGAGGGCTTTCCTGGTGTCTCAGTGGTAAAGAATCTACCTGCCAATGCAGGAGACACAGGTCCGATCCCTGATCTGGGAAGACCCCACATGCCGAGGAGCAGGTACGCCCATGCGCCTCTAGTACTGAGCCTGCGCTCTAGAGCCTGGGAGCCGCAGCTGCTGAGACCACATGCCCCAGAGGCCGTGCTCCACACGACCAGCTGCCGCAGTGAGGCTGAGCGCTGCAACTAGAGTACCCCCTACTCAACACAGCCGAAGATAGATAAACAAAACCATTTTTTAAAGTGGTTTTTTTTTGTTGTTGTTGTTTTGCGTTCTGGATACAAGTCCTTTGTCAGATATGTGTGTTAAGAATAGTTACTCTCAGTTTGTTGTCTTTTCATTTTTCTTAACATTAATCCTTGAATGGCAGCAGTTCTTAGGGGTCTTAAATTTTATAAAGTCTAGTTCTTTTTTTTCTTTGAGAGTTCATACTTCTTTCGTTCTGAGAAAAGATTTATTAATACCTATCCTAAGATCAGAAAATTTTCCTCCTGTATTTTATTTTAGGAGTTTTATAGCATTACATTTGGACCTGCTTACATTTAAGTCTATGATTCATTTCAAGTTAATATTAGTATACCTGTAAGGGTTAAATTTTGGTGGTTTTCTTTCTTTTTTTTTGCATATGTCCCCTTGTTTTAGCACCATGTATTGAAAAGATGATTCTTTTTCAGGTGAATTACCTTGTTGAAAATCAGTTGAACATACATGTGTGGCTCTATTTCTGTTTTCAGTAATGTATGTCTATCTGTAAGCCAATACAGTGGGCTTTCCTGGTGACTCAGTGGTAAAGAAGCCACCTGTGATCCCTGGCCGGGAATTTTCCCTGGAGAAGGAAATAGCAACCCATTCCAGTGTTCTTGCCTGCCAAATCTCATGGATAGAAGAGCCTGACAGGCTATGGCCCATGGGGTCGCAAGAGTTGGACATGACTTAGTGACTAAACCACCACTACCACCACCAAGCCAATACCATACTGTCTTGATTACTACAGCTTTATAATGTCTTGAAGTCAGATAATATAAATCTTCTAGCTTTTTTCTTCCCCAAATTGTTTCAGTCATTCTAGGCCTATTCTATTTCTGTTTAAGTTTTAGAAATAGCTTATCAATGTCTACAAAAGAAAGCTTGCTAGGACTTTGATGGGAATTGCATCAAATCTGTAGATCAAACTGGAGAAGAACTGATGTCTTAATAATATTGAGTGTTCTAATCCATGAACATAGTATATCTCTTCAGTTATTTAGGACTTCTGTAAGTTTTCAGTGTTTCATAGTTTGCAGTGTACAGGTCTGGCATGTATTTTAATTTATTCCTAAATGTTTCAGATCTATTGATGCCATTGAAAATGATGTTTAAATAAAATTTATTTAAAATATATAAATATAAAATACATAAAATAAACATTTATTTATTATATTATTTATATATAATAAATATATATTTATAAAATGTATTTTATAAATAAATTAAAAATATATAAAATTCAGATATTCACAGCTAGAAATCCACCCAGTTTTTATATACTGATCTTGTATTTTGCAACCTTGCTGAAAACTAACTTACTAGTTCTGGTACTTTTTTGGGTGGATTCCTTGGGGTTTTCATATTGTGTGCGACATGTCCCAATAGGAAACAAAGGCACATTCACCTTCCTTGAGAATAGCTAGTGTTTCCCTAGTGCTGTGGCAAATTCAAAGGGGCCAGCATTTATGTGACTATAAAACGTTGTTTTTGGTTCCACTTAAATTGTATTTAATTAGCCTGAAATCTTAGAGAAAGGTAAATAAATTCTTGAAGTTCAAATGTTAAAAAAATAACATTAATTAGAAGGTTTTTATGAATTTCATTGGGATGTAATTTGATAGCAGTTGTTTTATTTTCAACAGAACTGATTTAACAATTTCACATTTCTTTTTAATGCATATTATATCCATTTCAAAGCCATCTCTTATCATTGCCTTTTCTGGGTTTTCCCTCTGATATACCTATTTATGTCTGTTACTTGTGGGACTTTATTTTGGTAGGGAATTTAATGTGCATTTATACAATGAATGCTTATTAAGCATGCAGTATCCACTTGGTACCAAGTGCCATGGATACAGTTGGGAGCAAGACAGAAACACGCATTTGTTGTCTTTATGGCGCTTACGTTCTATTCTAGCAAAACAGTGGGACATTGAGTAAACAGTTGTACAAACTATGGAATTACAGTTTGAAAAGTGCTATAAAGTCATTAAATTTATGAAGGATAGTCCTAACCTAGACAGGTTGTGGGTCAGAGAAGTCTTCCTGAAAGCGGTGACATTTTTGCCCTCTCTGGTAGTTGTGTTTAAAGATTTAGGTAGATTTGGGGGGTAGAGGACTGATGATACTACTTATGTTTACCCATTTGCCTTGATATATATGACCCAAACTTTTTTCTTCAATAGCATTTTTTTTTCTTTTTTTTTTTTCTATACTCTCTTAGTGGTCATTGGTAGAGTTAAGCCAAGAATCATTAATTAATTCCTTTTCCTTATATGTGTTAGCAGCTACTTCTGCAGCTCTTAAGTCATCATTGTAACTTAGATCCTTTTACAGCATATACCAGGCGGAATCCCTTGAAACAGGTAGTAATTTTGATATTTCTTGTGACCAGAATTTTATTCTCCTGTCCAGGGATAATAGGGGTGCGGGGGGACCTAAATACTACCCTTCTGTAGTTAGTTTTACTTGATGGATACAAGTTGCATTTGACTATAGTGTATATAAATATTTAGGAGAATTATAGATGGTATACAGTTATATTTCTTAAGAGGTTCCTCACCTCATTTTGTATCTTTTTAGATTCTCTTTTTTTCTGAGTAGCTTACTTTGCCCTGATTAAGTCCTGAAAGAGTATATGAAAGAAGTATAAGAATAAAAATAAAAACCTCCTGTACCTTGCCTACTCCATATTTTAATTTATTTTGCATATTTGTACATCTCTATGTGTTGCTTTCAAAAATAGTTTATCTGATTGGCCATCTACACATCATTCATCTAATAATTTGCTCCAGAGGTGATTGGTTCCCTGCTTTCTTCCTGTTCTGAAAGTTCTACCTGGTGCTGGCTCTTTCTTTTTGGTTTCCTCTTGATTTTTATTGACTTTGAATAGAGAGGAGTCACATTACTTACACCTGTTGAATAACTGTTTACCTCCCTGCTTGAGTTAATGAAAACCAAGTTAGTTAAGAAGTGTTTATTATTCAGATTCTTTTACATCTCAGTGTGTGTGTGTGTGTGTGTGTGTGTGTGTGTGTGTGATTTAACCTATCCACTGATTTATCTTTAGCTTGTGTGGTGCCCTTATAACATCCAGCTGTTCAATGCGTTGAAGGAAATTCACATTTGTTTTCACACACTTGAAGATTCTTGTGCTATAAAATGTCTCACTCTCTGGATTTCTTCTGATCACTTATTTCTGAAGCCATTTAACTTGTTCCTCTGGCCTCTGTGTTTTCTGCAAAGGGGAACTGAGTTTTAAAGTTTCATCAATTGAATTTAGTTAAATGAAATTTCATCTTAGAAGCTGCTTCTCTTAGGCATGCAGAGCTTTGGGATGGACCCCGGATGCTAACAGAAGGCCTCATTTCCTCTTTGGAAGTACTTGGCATTTGTGTGAAGAGGGCCCAGGAGTTCAGATCAGCACTTACTGTAACAGATTTTAATATGTTTTGTGCTGGTCCCTCGGACCAGCTGACTGCGGATGCTGACTTCCCCATCTGAATCTCCTGAATCTCCCAGGGGGAGGCCCTGGGTCTCCCAGGGTCCAAGAGGAAGTTGCAGCTTCTTGGGAGGTAGGTTAGAGAGTTCAATACTAGGTTAGGTCATAAGTACTGGACTTCTGCCTTCCCCTCCATGGACTGCATTTGGGGTAAAGTGAAAGCAGCTTGGGTACCCCATTCGTTTCACTGTTGGTGACCCGTCAGTGGCTGGTGGTGGTCAGCTTGTCTACAAGATGAGGTGGAGGTCCTGCCGAGGCTGAGAGGGAATGCTCTAGTATCTTAGTACTTTGTCTCCTGTGACTTTTCACCTAGGCTTTTATTTTCCCAGATAATGAATTTCTTTGAGGGGTGGAAGTATAAGGTTAAAAACTTTCTGTAAAATGCACAGAGGCCTAGAGGATCACTAATGAACTCTAGAACTGGAAAGGAAGGACTTTTGAGAACTTAGGATCTAGTGTAGGATAGAAATGTGCCTATTTCCCTGGATCTTGCTTTCTGAACAGTTCATATTTTTATAATATAGGTATATTAGTTGCTAAGTCATGTCTGACTCTTTTGTGACCCCATGGACTGTAGCCCGCCAGGCTCTTCTGTCCATGGAATTCTCCAGGCAAGAATACTGGAGTGGGCTGGCATTTCCTTCTTCAGGGGATCTTCCCCACCCAGGGATTGAATCCAAGTCTCTTGCACTGGCAGGCGGATTCTTTCCCACTGAGCCACCAGGAAGCCCATACTTAAGCGTACTCATTGTCTATTGTATGACAGTTTTTATGTTCAGAATATGTTAACCCAGCTTTTATTGGTCATGAATTAGGAAGCACTTCTCTTACCAGAGTGGCATTTTAAGGGAAAGCTACCATCATCTAACGTAATGCCAAATTACGACCTTCCCACTTCTTTCTTTATGGCACAGGAAATCCGGGATCCTCTTATGCAGTGGCTGGGGAAACATGTGGATCCTGAAGGAGTCATAACATCCAGCAAGCTCTCCCTGAAATTCATTTCATCCTACACGTCTGAAATAGAAATCACCCCATCCGCCATACCTGTGGTGACTGACATGGAGTCCTTCTCATCAGAAAACTTCAATTTCGAGATCTACCAACAAAACCTGCAGACAAGGAAACTTGGGAAAGTCATTCTGTTTGCCGAAGTGACGCCCACCACAATGAGTCTTCTGGACGGGTAAGTCCTGGCCAGGCTGGTTTCTGTACTTGCTTGGAGGACCCCAGGTATCTTGATGGTTCTCTCCAACCAGTGCTCGGTGAGAGGGATGAAGATTTAGAGCAATGACTTAATGCTATGCTTAAAGTGATGGCTTATTCATAACTTAATAATGAAGATGAGCGTGATAACGCTTTAATACACCACTAGCAATACACCCATCTGTAGATAGAGAAATTAAAGTTCTTGGGTCAGAAATCTGTGTTTTAAAGAATGAGGGACTTCTGTGCCTTGTGTCTGTCTTCCTTTAATCTGACCTTTCAGAATGTCTGGGAAAGAGAATATTATGAAAAAAAGGTGTTTGACAGGTGGCGCTATTGTTCACATTGTTCACATTGCCATTTTACTCTGTTATAACCAGTGTTGAGATGTTATAACCAGTTTAAGATGTTTGCGGAGTATTAGCATAGGAAATTTGAACGACTTGTAAGTTGTGTTCAGTTGAAATAAACAGGAGCTTTGTACTTACCTGTTTTGGTATGTTGCTATCCAATGCATTTTTAAAGCACTCTGTAATCCCATTGGGATGTTGGAAATTCAGTCTTATTTCAAGTTTTCCTTCTTATTTCTTCTGTTGCATGGACTTTGATTAAAGGTTAAACAATGGGAAACAGATGAAAGGTTAATTTTAAACTCCAAATTAGTCTCTATTAATACTTTTATGTTGAGATAGATAGTTTAAAAAGTAGGGTTATAGAGGGCATGAATAAGAAAAGCATCTTCCCTCAACATGGGACTAAAATTTGAGGAATGTAAGACTGCAAAATCCCCCACCTCCTTCACGGTTTCTGGGCACTTTCACCTGTGGAACCGCATAATTAGTCAGATACATAATTCAGCATCTGGAACGTATGGAAATATTTTGGCTTTTCTTCTGAACAATAATTTCTGGAATTTGCTAGTATGTTGATATAAGGTGATGAGATAATTTTAGGGTTTCTTGACTCTCATGCTCAGTCATGGAAGCAGCAATTTTAGTGTATGTACAGGATGTAGAAACAGCATTACTATAGGGGAACTAGCAGTGAGAAGGCAAAGTCGAAAGGGGAATATGAGCAATGGCAATGAATAGGTCTTGTCTCCCGAGTTGTTTTGTGTTATTTTTGTTTTCTTTCAGTGTTGCCATCGTCTCCTGCCTCCACTCCCCAGTCCCTGGTGTTCCCATAGAGAAGAAAAAGCTTGTATTTGTACGGAGCAATTATTACTTGCTTGTACAAACTCTGTGATAATCTTTTGCTACTCCAGTGTACACTACTATTATATCAAAAAGGCTACTCATTCCAATCATATCTGCCAAATAAAAAAAATCAGACAGAATATTTAACAAAAAATTTTGGGGAGGTGAAATTCAGATAGAAAAACATTGGCACTTCTAGACCATTTTTGTTGTTTTTGTGGACGATAGTGAAGAGTATTTTGTATCGGGGCAATCTTGAAACATTGAGATTATGGTTGCTGGGTTTGGGCAGTAGGCAGTAAGAGGGCTTGTGGGTACCTTGCTAGGGTGGGTGCCAAGAGGTAACCCGAGCTTTTATATTCTCTCTCATTTTACCTGGAGAGCAAAGGAGAGTGTAAATTGGGGCGTGTCCACATATGGGCTCCTTCAGAAGTTGCTCATGATGTTTTTGTTCATCTCCCAGGGCTAGAACATGACCAGATTTACCTCCAAGGACGACTAGGAAATAAATGCCAACTTTGTACTTGGCATTGATGAATCTACTGAAAATTAGGTTTCTATTAACCAGGAGGAGAGGAGGGCAGATATTAGAGGGCAGTTAGAAGTCTTTCTAACTTCTGTTTGTACTTTCTGTTTGTCAGGCTGCTAAAAAATTAGCAGGAGGCCTTTAAGTAGTATAATACCTCATGATGGCCCCATTGCTTGCAAAAGTTAAAATCATAGTTGGAAACAATTATTTTCAGGTAACTCTGGTTTTATTTCGCTGCTTATTCAGTGTCATTAGAGGTAACTTTCTTATGTTATTACAAATCCAGGAGGATTTGGACCGTTTTCTTTGGACAAATTGTTGGAGGCTGTGTGTGCTTCTTTGACGACAAGCCCAGTTTAAGCTACTGTGACACTGAGGTAGCACCGAAAGCTTTCATTTGCTCTCTGGTCAGGGGAGCAGGCTGGCCTTGAAACCGTGAACTGCCACCACCACCGTCACCTCCTGCCCCAATTAAAGCTTGGCTAGTGGTTCTGTAGAGGGGAAGGCGCTCTGAGGACAGGAGGAGCAGAGGGAAATGTGGGAGTGGCTTGCTGATAACATCAAGGTGTCTGATGGCCCTGCGGACTCGCCCTCCAGTAATAGAGAGCAAAAACCACGGGAGTGAGTGCTGTTTCCCCCATGGTCTGACATGGCAAGCCACCCAGCCAAGTCTGGTTGGAAGAGGTTAATTTCTCCCTGAATCCCCCACCCCAGGCCTTTTTTTTTTGTTTGCCATGTATTTCTAACCACGAAAAGCATTTTCTACCTGATGGTCAGGGTAACACAGGGTAAATTCTGATTTCGGTTCACTTAGACAATCTCTCCCCCCCGCCCCGGAGTTATTTCCTGGTAGCTCTTCGTGTGACCAGTTAGCTCAGCTGGTTGGGGAAAGTCCGACCAGGGCCACGGGTTTAGTCCTGCGTCTGGCCCGGGGAACCTTCCCTTCACTATTCTGTGGTCAGTCCTGTGGCTGCTGACGCGGAAGCCCTTTGAAGATGTGAGCTGCCGCTGGCCGTGGGGTTCCAGGCCAGGGGGTGTGGATTGGCCAGTGCTCAGCCCTCCGCACTGCTGGACAAGTGCCTCCAGCTGCTGACTCTGGCCTGGTTTGGTCCAGAGGGCTGCACATTTAGTAGAATCTCCTGATGAGCGATGACTGATTGTCAGCTCTGGGGAAGGTGGGAAGGGGAAAACTAGACCTTGGAGCGCAGGCTTAGGGTAACTGAGCCATTATTGGTAATTGTGCAGTTGTCTTTTATTTGAGCGATAGTTCGATGATCAGATGTTGAAACAACTTACTTGTGTGAAGCCACAGTGTGTGGCGAGCCAGATGAACACAAACTCATTCATACTGATTCTCTTTGCATCCTTGTATACATCCTGAATGAACTGGCCACACATGGGCTTTTTTTTTTTTTTGTAAAGAATAATTTAGATTTCTTTGTTAAGTACGTTTATTTTCTTACCATTGCTGAAGCCCTTGATTCTTCAGGCCTAAGTTTGCCTTCAGCCTACGTGGAGTAAGCATTTATGGAGTGCTTGCTGTATGCCAGGCCGTGTCAGGCACTGGGGAGAGAAGGCGGGGAGTGTACTGCCCCAACCTCACAGTGCCCTAGAGGAAGCGCTTCCCCGGGCACACTCAGTTCATGCACAGGCACGCACGTCTGTGCACCTCTTTTTGGTCTGAGCCTGGGAGTTTGGGCAGATAGGGAGAAGTGGTCACAGTGTATTACATGGCGCTGGGCGAGAAGCAGACTGATTAGTCAAGTTTTTGGAGCAGTTTCTGTGTCAGGCGTAAAGCTCACTATCTAGTAGAGAGAAACACTGGACCTGAAGATTCTATCACTCGCTGGCTCTGTGACCTTGGCATCCTCACCCTCTTGGGCCTTGCTCTCCTCAGTTCTGCGATCTGGGCATGAGAAGCACCCCAGCTCCTGCGAATGGAGTGATCCTGGAGTCAGAATCATAAACCTGCCCGCCTTCCTTGCTCTCAGTAACCTCCAGGCCTTCTAGAGGGCGAAATGGTTTTGTGAACTAGCTTCAGCGTCCACTGAGGAAACCTTGTATGGTAGGTGGTGGACTTTTCTAGAAGCGGAGGGAAAGTCAAGGAGTAACAATCCACTCAAGTCATTAAAAAGTATTCGGGGGAAATAGCACAGGGGAGAAGAGCCAGCATCGTTTAAGAAAGATAGTATTTTTTGTGTCACAGTCTGGGGCTTCTCACCTCGCTGCATACGTGTCCAGTCAGCGCCTAACGTCTCCTTCCACCTTTCTCAGACGTGTTCCTTTCGCCACTAGCATCTCCTTCCGCTTTTCACATACGTGTCCCGTCAGGCCCTGAGGTCTCCTTTCGCCTTTCACATACGTGTCCCGTCAGGCCCTAACATCTCCTTCCGCCTTTCTCAGACGTGTCTGCCACTAGCATCTCCTTCCGCTTTTCACATACGTGTCCCGTCAGGCCCCAACGTCTCCTTTCGCCTTTCACAGACGTGTCCAGTCAGCCCCTAACTTCTCTTTCCGGCTTTCTTCTCTTCCGCCTCTGCTCCCCTGACTTGTTCTACTGCGCACCCTCCTCCCCACAAGCGGAGGCCTGAGAGGACAGAAACTGGGCTGGAACTAATTTAATGGCTGAGTGACCGCACAGGAGAGAAACAGCCGGATCCTAATAGGGGTCTTTGTCTACATTTCCACCCTGGCTGGTAGCATGCCAGTCAAGAGTCAAGCTCGAGACACAGGTGGAAGCGATTAGACCTGTCATAAAGTTTGAAAAATTGATTCTGGAGGCGAAGTGAATAGATTGAACTTGACAGTGTTGTCCTAAAGATTCTAAGGGAAAATTCTGTAGTTTAATTTGAAATCCCTTGATTATTCATTAGCTTTCCAGATGGCTTTTGTTGATGTTTTACATATTAATGCCTGTATTGTGTTATCGGGTGTACTCTTAATGTGCACATAGGTAATGAGCAAGGGATAAATACGTTGGTAAGTGTCCGAAATTAATGGGATGTTAGCCTAATTGTGAAATAAAGGGTTTTTAAGAAGTTGATTGCTTTGAGATAAATTAGCATGAGCTTTTTAATGGGCCAACTTGGTACTTTAATGTGAAAATTATTGGAGAATTTAAAGAGACCTTCATTTTAATGTTTACTTCTAAATTAAGGTTTACAGTGTAACTCCAGCCTTTGACTCTGCTGGTGAAGACTGAAGAGTTATTCTAGCCAATTCTCTATCAAATGCTTTTGTTTTCTTGGTCTCAACTCAACACCTGAATAAGTTAACCTTTCACATGCCAAGCTCCTGGAATCAAATGATAAAATGGTTTATTGTTTTCCAGAAATGTCTCCATATTGATTGTTAGTGTTCTGGAATGTTTAGTTTACATTTTGTAACTGATTTTATTTTTTTCAGTAGGGCAAGCTTATTATGATGCTTGCCATTCTATGATAATGACAGCGTGTTCTACTTAGCGTTTTCATTAGAACTGGAGCTTCTTTCTGCCTCTCTCTCCATGTGGAACAACGTTTAACAACCTGAAAGATCCCCACATTTTGTATAGAAGAGTGAGACTGAAAGTGACCATCCAGCCGATATCTTGTGAGTGATGAAACACTTCAGGGACATGTTGGACAGTCTGCTGTGCTTGAAAGCTCTTCCCCTGGACCCTCCTCCAGACTCAAAGCACAGTCTTTTGCATGTTCTCAGTGGTGGGTGGCAGTCTTAATCTTTCGAGGGTATACCAGACTTTTAGGTAACTAGATCCTATGATGAGCTTCCCTTGGTGGTTCAGATGGTTAAGAATCCACCTGCAATGTGGGAGACCAGGATTCGATCCCTGGGTTGGGAAGATTCCCCCAGAGGAGGGCATAACAACCTACTCCAGGATTCTTGCCTGGAGAATCCCCATGGACAGTGGCTGTTTGCAGTCCATGGGGTCCCAGAGAGTGGGACTGAAGCACAGCTCAGCACAGCACAGACCCTGTGTATTTCCAGAAACTGCCTAGTTTCCTGTGCTCACTCGTTTCCCATGACTGAGGATCAAATATCTGGGTTGACCTAGGGGCTTAGAGCTTAATGTGGAATATTGCTGCCCTGGGTTGGAATTGCATGTCCGCCATTTGCCGCATGAGTAACCTCCGGCAAATCAGTAACCTTTCAAGCTTCCATTTCCTTGTCTATATGAAGTAGCTGGCAATAGTCTCAGCTCTTTAACTTTTCTTTTCTTTCCCAGTTCAATCCCTTAGCTAATTTCTCTTCAGCACCAGCTGTGTGCAGCAGTCCGCACTAGGCTCTGGGACCCAGTGGGGAATAGAGTAGATGTGGGACTTTCCTTCCAGGAGCCCCCGTTCAGCTCCAGGATAGGGTGAGAATGTATGGAAAATGTCTGCTAAGCTCTTAGTGCATAGCTCATGTTGTTGAATTCTCATTATTCCTTAAACTTTAGATATGATTCCCTTTTTTGACCAGTGCATTCTTCCGGTGGCAGTGCTGTGAGCATCAGTGAAGCAAATCATTGTCAGCTTGACTTGAGTTCTTGATGTGCGTTTCCTTGGGGTGGAGTTTTTATTGAAGATTTTAACAGTTTTTTCTCAGTGGTTATTGTTTTCTGAAAAATGTGTTGTTTGAGTTCAGCTTTTCTGGAAAGATGAGAAAATAGAGTTGATTCTGTTTGTGGTTCCCTTACAACATGTGTAGCCAGTTCACTCTCTCTTTTTTAAATCAAACTTTCTATTTATTTAAGTCTTAATCCTTAAGATTATTTGACTTAATTGACTCTTGTGACATATGAAAATGATAGTCAATTCAAAAGAGCCAAAACTTCAACAGTCTGAAGGTATTTATTAGTCCCATGGGTATGCCTTGTTTATTATCTGTATCTTCCTCCAGACCTTTTGTGTCAATCAGAATGCATGGATTTGATACTGTTTCATTCTCTTGATTTTCCTCAAACATCTCAGATATTTGTTACTCTGCAGAATTGCTTGATTTTATAGTATATTTGATTTAGTATGAATGTCTCTTACTGGTTTTATTTAAACCGGTAATAAAGGACCACAAAAGATGACACAAGGTAAAAGGTTTGGGGCTAGAAAAGGCAATAAATGTGACAAAAGTTTTATTTTTTTAATCTCAGTCCAGATTTTTTTTTTTCCTTATAAACTATTTGCTTTGTATTGGGGTACAGCTGGCTAACAATATGTTGATGTATGGCAGAAACCAACTCTATATTGTAGATCGATTATCCCCCAATTAAAGATAAATAAATTTATTTTTTTTTTAAAAAGCAAACTCCAGTGAAATATCTCCTCACGCCAGCCAGAATGGCCCTCATCCAAAAGTCCGGAAACAGTAAATGCTGTAGTGGGTGTGGAGACAAGGTTGGTGGGAATGTAAATTGGTACAGCCACTATGGAGAACCCTATGCAGGTCCCTTAAAAATCTCAGTCCAGATTTACCTTAGGGAGAAAACCAAGAGTTTTGACTGTAGTTTAGAAGGGAGTTGAGTCTTCTGATGCGTGGGATGTTTTCTGCTATCGTCGTAAAGTGCAAAGGAGTTATTTGTTAGCAACATGATATCGCTTGTATGTGGAATCTTAAAAAAAGCCAGACTCATGAACACAGTAAAGAAGTAGTTATCAGGAGCTGGAGGGTGGGGGTTTCTTTCTTAAAGATACAGATTTGCCCTGAGTAGAGATCTTATGTACAGTATAGTGGATGTAGACAACAATATTGTATTATAATCATCAGACTTGTAAGAGACCAGAATCTAATCCAGCCACTAAAAAGAAAATGATAATTAGGTCACATGATCGAAGTGCTAATTACTGCTGCAGTGGCAAGGATATTACAGTATATAAATGTGGCAAATTAACATGTGCACCTTAATTTTACATCATGTTATACCTCAAATATGTGATTAATTTAAAAACCTCTCTAAACACAGAAAGCCCACAAAATTCAGTTTATGAGTTAACACTAACTCCTATGTGGGAAAGATTTTAAATATCATTAGAATTTAGTTTTCATGATAATTCCAGTGTGCCCGCTTACCTGTATGTATGTGATGAGAAGATGAAGGCTGAGCTCTGGGTTAAAAAACTTATCTCGGTAAAAATCAGTGAATGTGTTGAATAATCAAGCAGATATTTTTCTTTTCCCCTTTTTAGCATCCCTCTCCCCTTCTACTGTTTCTCCCCTGACTTGGCTTTGTGATTTACTTAGAGAAACTTCTGTTTTTCTTTCAAATAAAACACTTACCTGTTCTGGAGGTGAGGGTTGATTTGCTTTCATCTGGCCCTTTAAAGTCTTCTGCACACTTACCATTTGGCCAGATGCCCTTGGAGCTCTGAAATACTCTCGTTTCTGCGTCTTTGTTTTGGACAGAAGCATGTTCTGTTTCTGCATGAGGGGTATTCCATCACGTCGAGATCCCAAACACCACATTTTTTCTGTGTTGCACAAGGAGTCATTCATCATTTTCATTTTTTGTTTGGCTCTGCCACAAGAGTATTCAAATTAGCGAGAAGGAGAGTGATGAAGTCATTGCCTGGCAGGGAGGTATTTCCTTGAGATGTGAGAAGGGTAGAGGAGACAAGAGAAGGGGAAGGAGTTACGGGCAGGTCTGCACTCACCTCTTTTTCTAAGAGGTCATCTGGATGCCAATGGAGTTTTCACCGTTTCAAATTAGATCATGTGAGTACAGAGAACTTACTTGAGAATGTAAGTAATGGTAAACGGTGTTGAACGCTGTTCAACAACCCTGGAAACTTAGGCTGAAACTTTGTGCCGTTTTGACGTGCTAGCTGTGTGACGTTGGGTAAAGCACTCAACCTCTCTGGGCCCCTGTAAAAGGAGAAGGTTACACTAGATCCACGGCTTCATTTTCTTTCCTTTTCAAAGCCAAAAACCCCTTTTAAATGAAATATCCTGCAAATGGGACTGGGAAGCCTTATTGGAGTCTAGGTTCCTCAGTGCTTGGGTGCCAACTGTGTGCACGCCAGTGTCTCAGTCAAGTCTGACTCTTTGTGACCCCATGGACTGTAGCCCTCCATGCTCCTCTGTCCCTGGGATTTCCCAGGCAAGAGTACTGGGGCTGGTAGCCATTTCCTTCTCCAGAGGATCTTCCTAAACCAAGGATGTCTCCTGCATCTCCTGTATTGGTAGGAAGATTCTGCCACCTGGGAAGCTCCACGGGTGTCAAGACCACTGGCCAAAACCTTTACAATGATCACTCAGGCCCAGCTGACTGGGGAGTAACTCTCCCATATCTTATATCTTAGTGGCAGGCTGACTGGTTGATCTATTTATACCCAGCCTCATTCCAAAAGGATTTAAGGCAAGGGAGACTTAAGTTTTTCTCTTTTGAGGTAAGTTCTTTCAGCCTTCTGCAGGAGATTGTACTGTGTAATCATAAAGTGGATTACACCAGGTTTCTTTGATTTTTAGATATCACATCAAAGCATACGTATATTTTTTGTAAAACTCAGTATCATTCAGTGTTTCGTGACTTCTCCAGACTAATAATCTTGGTGACTGAGTACTCCCTTCTGGAACGCAGAGAAACCTGGGTAGGTTCTGTGCCCTTGTTAAAATTAAGCAGCTTTTGTCCCTGGGGCTGATTATCCAGGTGGTTATTCAGACGTCTCCAATTAGTTGCTGTTGTTCAGTCACTCAGTTGTGTCCAACTCTTTGCGATCCCATGGACTTCAGCACCCTAGGCTTCCCTGTCCTTTACTGTCTCCTGGAGTTTGCGCAGAATCATGTCCATTGA